TTCGAGCAGCACCATACACGCAGGACGGAACGCTGGACATACTAGCGCTTTGTAAATTTCGATGCATGTTACAGATAACGACATTCAAGTTGCTATGAGCTGATTCGCTCTCTAACTGTAGGGACATTCAGATGCGGTCTGATTGGGCTGATTCCATACAAAACATTAGGAATCAGCCGAATCAGACCGGATCTGAGTTTCCCTACATTTAAATAGCAAACATGCTCTTCAACTGTCAAACATGTTCTTCGACCAGATGGAACCAGAACCGAGATTTAGCCGGTTTACCGGTATATTAGTAGTTTCGTGCATTCTCACACCAACATTTCGGCCAAGTTCTATCCTAGTTCTTCTTCACTTCCGTCTAGTCTAGAACTGGCCGAAAAGTTGGTGTGGGAACGCGCCGCCACAGTTTTGGCGCGCGCTGCGGAGTGCCAGTCGTTCTGGCGCCAATACTGCTTTGTGATCGGATTGCGGGGGATACTGGTAGTCAAAGTTTCTGTGACAGGCGTCGTTCAATGAACATCTTTTTTAAGCCAATGAGAACCAATAAATCGTATATCTGGTGGGGGGTACCTTGTAGCATTTATGACCACAAAAACAAGTTTTTGTCCGAGTTCGTAGCGTCTAAGACACTGCCCGCGGCGAACGGATTGCAACGAATTAAAAATTTTGCCTGTCCAACAGCTTTATATTAATCAAGTCAAATCATTATTCTGTATTATACAGAATAAGGCTCGGGCTACAAGGTTAAACCACTATAGACCCGATTATAAAAACACAACAAGAATGATGGTCCTGTTAATTAGCGGCCGCTTCAGTGACTTGATTCCACTATGTGGTTCCGTGTTGTCTCTTATATGGTAACGTATAACTGACCAATCACAACTATTAAATACAAAACAAGAGACTTTCACTGGCTAAATGAACCGGCCCGAATTGGCATTTTCCCTTATCTCCTTCAGAGGAATAAACAGGTAGGAAAAGGTAATCATTTTATCTGGACAATCCTCTATCATAACGGCAAGCCCCAACGTCTCGAAATCCTGTTCGTGACAAAATACACTAACGTATTAGTAAGTTATCCGGGTATTTTGCGATCTAGAACTTACATAGAAAAGAAAACTTAGCATATCTTCATGTCAAGCAGCATGCTCAACTAAATTTCGTTAACTTCCGCCTTACTCTTCCTCATCGCTAATCACATCATGTCCCCGTGGAGACTCACTTTTAATGAAGTCGACATCGTCATCATCGTCTTCATCTCCACTCAATTCACCTCCGCTTTCCTCATCGCTTGCAGCCTCCATTTCACTATACACCTCGACCGCACTAGGAAGAGTAGTCGTCTCGCCGGCAAGATCAGCAACATGTCGACGTGCCATTCTCTCGATTGTCGCCACAAAGAATTGTAGACCCGGCTCTGGCGCTGTAAACGAGTTTTCTAGTTCCCTCTGGAAGTGCTCAAGCGGGTTGTTAGTGCGAGTGATGATACTGTTGTTCAAGCCGTGCATATTCCACATAGCGGGCGAGAATTGCGAGATCCACACACGTCTGAAGTAGACCCAAAACGAGCTCCATTGATCCCGTGAGTAAGGAATTCCAGTTGTGATACACTTGTTTTTAATCTGCTGCTTCACCCGGGCAATTCCTGCACTAGCAACTCGATCCGGAGTGATCGAGGCGAGCATATCTAGCACACCTTTCTCCATCGCAATATTGATGGCCTCCTCCGACATCTCCAATTGCTCCATTCTGGTCTGACAAGCCTTCTTGAAGAGGTATACACTGCCTTTCACGACAGCGTTCGGGAACTGTAGTTGCAGAGCCCTGTAAAGCTCATTATCAAAGCTACATACGACCTCCTGTGGCTTCAGCTTTCGTCGCGTAGCTTGGACGATGAAGTAAAGAGCATTGCGATAGCTAGTCAATGCCCGAGTTGTACACAAGACGTAGAACGCCGGAACGAAAAACCCGGACGTTTTTTCGTACATAACCAACGCCATGCACTGTTCGAACCCAGGAGGTAGTCGTCGAAGAGCAGTATCAACGTATAAAGTCGAGTCAGCGTGCTTTAACAGCTCGATCAGGTAAGGATGAGCCCAACCGATCACCCGGTTCGGGGTATTCTTTGGTTCATACCCGGTTATACAATTGAACTGGAAGAACTGCAACGTTGAGTTCCGTACGAGCGAGAGCGGAGGGTTTTCGATACGACCGAGTAGAATGGGGTCAATTTGGCTCGGTCCGACACGAACCATTGGGTTGACGGGGGGAGGTCGATAGCCACCTGGTGGAATGAACATGTAAGGGTTGGAGGTCGCGACAGTGGTCGGATTTTGATAGAACCGAATTTTGCCCCGGCATGTGAACTTTTAATATTAGGATTGGCAAGCCTTCCCGACAACAGAGTAGTAATGCCGTTCATTGCAGCTGCCGGGTTCGCGCACTACCGAAGAGTGTCATCGAGGACATCAGGGCAGACACTCGACAAATGTTGTCAACACGCAAGGGCTGCGAGGATCAGCCGGATATCCGCCGAATAGCTCTAAAACACCGTTGCTCTACTAATACGGTCCGAAATGTCCTGGCAGGGAACTCGACCGGAACCAAGAGGAGTTCTCGTGATGATACCGTTCAGCTCGGTCGGCGACTCAAGCACTGCCAAGACAAAGTCTGGTCTACAGACCAGACTGGATTAACGGCTTCAAGTACATTTCGTATCCATCCGGGATCTGCGATTTGTTCAAAGGTTCGTCAGCAGCGCGCTTCACCAATGCACGATAGATGTCACCGTCATAGCGCCCGATAGTCGAGTTCAGCTCGAAATCACTGAAGTCCCAGGCATCCGTGAGCAGCACGCAGTTCTTGCGGATGAGCGGTAGTAGACGCACCACCTGGTTCCGAACAAGATCAGCCTGTTGGGAGGAGAGATAGTCGTGTTGACGGAAGTCTCCAAGCGACTTGGTGATCAACCAAGCGCCAAACAGCGAGCACAATTGTGTAACCGAGTCCTTCTCAGAGCTAGCAGGTAGGTTCTGTGCGCCGCGGATGAACGCTTCGAGCAATATCAACTCGGCGTGAGCAGCAGAAGCACGAGTCATGAGCACCATGCAAGCATTGCCATCGTTCTTGGTTGCTTTCATTTTGCTGGCCAGCGCCAACACGACACGTGCAGTCCGTGTCTGGAAAGCATCGAGAAGAAGCTCAAGGTTTCCGAAGTCCTCGGATTTTTGAGCCTTGCACCGCAGTTTAATATCGCTGTAACGCTTCACGTTATTCAAAAACTTGGTAGATTCCTCGTCGACAGGAAGAGACGCCAGCGTCTTCAGTAGATAGCGCGCATGCTGCTGAACTAATACGTCGGAAGTGCCTTCGTACGTGTTGGCACCGACCATCTCAGCGAACAAATGAGCCAGGTTGCTGGATTGCGTGAATCCGTGACCTCCACACAGACGGCGGCACGTTTCAATTCCGTCACTCACGCGCTCAGCGAGCCAGGCTTTGAGTCCCGAAGACACGGCGTGAAGCTCTGCCAGCTTAGCGCCGAAGGAGTTTCCACCCTTCTTGATCACATCCAATGCCGAGTCATGCATCTCAACAAGAGAGACACCGGCGAAAAGTGCAGCGTACGAGATTGCAATGAGAGGGAACAGTTTGTGCTGCTGGTTCTGGTAGTCGAGCACCTGGAACTCGCCCTTGTTATCCGGAGTGCGTCCCTGGATACGAGCAGCACTGAAGCGAGTACAGATAGTGCTAGCTGCACCCATCTGGATCCCAGCAGTCTTGATCATGTAAGCTCGTACCTGTACCATCGTCAAGTACACGAGTTTGTCGCTCTTGGGCTTGACAAACGTCCCATCCGGTAACACCTTGGCATATCGCATCATCATGTTCTCGCGTGGAATACGGATCTTATGGAAAGCACAGTATCCGTTGTCTACACCGTTAAATCCGACCTTCGGACCGATATCTCCCACCTCAATACCTGGCAATGGTTGATGATCCTCCATCGACCGGATCTGCACCAGGAACGCCTGCACACCCACGTCCTTGCCGTCCAAGTACAATCTCGCATGCACGATGGCATGGTTAGCTGTCTTGCCCAGACCTCCTGGCCACCACTTACGACTGGTCAGTGTGGGCGAGTCAATGATGAACTCTTGAGTGGCCTTGTCGTACGTAGCGACAGTCTCGATGCCCTGCACATTGGACCCGTGACCAAGCTCTGTTTGCGCATACGCACCGAAGATCTTGTAGTTCTTGGCAAGTGGCAGCCACTTGGCGCGTTGCTCGTCGCTTCCCTGGTTCTCTAGCGTTGGGATGAACATGGCTCGGTGCACGTCGAAGCCCAGAGGTTCTCCCAGCGCCTTGTACAGAATCTGCTGGTCTTCGGGGTTCGTGTAGCCCCCGTCTTGCAGCAGCTTCACGTAGTGATAGGCCTTCTTCAGGCCGAATTCGTAGCGCTCCGTGTGGTTGCGGAACATCATGTTGCGGTCTGAGAGTACCGGATGACGCTCGATCACGTTGATGAGCTCTTTGCGGCGGGCGTTGGCCGCCTTACCGTCTCGCAGCACATCAGTAAGCACCGCCGGTTTAATGTCGCCATTTGCGCGCTCCTTCTTGAGCAGCAGTGGCGCCAGATCCTTCAGTTCCACAACCATACTTAGCGATAGTCTTGCCGATTCCAGGTGAGATTGAAAGTGATGCGGACACCTTGCAAAGCATAGAGATCAGGAGTGATGGTCACTTGAAGCTAAAACGTCGACGTCATCTTTGTCGTGTCGACAGTTCTTACGATAGTGCTCTTATACCTGGGAAGAAAGTAACGAGCATCTTATTCGAATCAAATGCTATTTAAATGTAGGGAAACTCAGATCCGGTCTGATTCGGCTGATTCCATACAAAACATTAGGAATCAGCCGAATCAGACCGGATCTGAGTTTCCCAACATTTAAATAGCAAACATGCTCTTCAACTGTCAAACATGTTCTTCGACCAGATGGAACCAGAACCGAGATTTAGCCGGTTTACCGGTATGTCAGCTGCGATAACCGATCTTATTACCGGTAGACGCACACACTGCCACCCATCAGCCAAGTCGAAGAAGAGCAAGGATGTTCCGGTCACCTCAGCCCGGCGACTGGGCCGCTGAAGACGAGGACACGTCGCCTCTGCCCACGCCCACGCCAGCGTTGTCCAACGCAGATCCCACACCTGCACCTGCTCCTGCTCCGAGAAGCGGGGGATATGAGCGCAGCAACAGTGGCGGACGCTTCGATCGGGACAGGAATAATAGCGGAGGAGGCCGCTTCGACCGTGAAGGGGGGCGCTATGACCGGGACAGAGACTACGGAGGAGGCCAGTACGATCGGGATAGAGACTATGGAGGAGGACGTTTTGATCGGGACAGAGGAAACTACGGCGGTGGACGATATGACCGCGGAGGACGCTACGACAGAGACTATGAACGAGGTGGACGCTATGAGCGAGATTATGACCGAGGAGGACGCTTTGAGCGTGACGGTGGACGCTATGAAGGCGGAGGACGCGCTGATGCCTCTCGATGGGGACACAACGCCGACCGTCGCGGCGGTGGAGCAAGCCGAGAGATGCCTGTCGAGCAGGGCTTTATCGTGTCCATTAAGGAAAATTTCGGCTTTGTGAGCTGCATGGAGAGAGACGGAGATCTGTTCTTCCACATCTCCGAGGCTCCAGTGGACGTCCAGCTACAAGACGAGGTGGAATTCCGTGTCAAGTACAACCAACGCTCTGACAAGGAGATGGCCTGTCAATTGGTGGCATTACCCAAAGGAACTATCAAAGTGGAGGAGGTATCAGAGGAGTATTGCGACGGTATTGTCACCAAGAGTTTGCCTCGTCATGGAAGTGGACGAGGGTTCTTTAACAGCCGCGACGACGACCGTCGACGTGAGGAACATGGACTTATTGAGGTGAAGAAGAATGAGACGGAAGATGAGAACCCGAAGACGGAAGAGCAGGAACAGACTGAGGAAGATGCGGATAAGAAGCCGCTCGTTAGACGCGAGTTTGTGCGCTTTACCAGTGAAAGTGTAGCTGCTAATGACGACGACCAGGAACAGCCTGGTCGGTCTAAGAAGAACCCAATCCCGCACTTTGGAGACGAGGTGCGCTTCCGTATTGCCAAACACCGCAAGACCGGAGCGAAACGTGCTGTGGACATCACGATCACAGTCTCAGCTCGTGAGAAACTGGACAAGGAGATCAAAGCCAAGTTGGCTACGATGACGCGCGAGACGGGCGTCGTGGACCGCGTGAAGAACGGTGGTGGATTCATTAAGTGCTGCGACCGTCCAGTGGACGTTTACTTCCCCTTCCACGAGCTTCGTGAGTCTGAAGACGAGAAAAACGACAAAAAGGAGGTCGAAACTGAAGACAAATCTCGTCCTGGACGCCAGACAAAGGGTCCGTCGATACGTGAAGGTGATGAAGTGTCATTCTTTGTGTACGAAGACCAAGAGGACGACTCGGGACGCTCCCGGCCACGATTGACAGCGCTGCGTGTGCAGAAGCTTCCTCCTGGCACGGTTTCTTTCGAGAAGTTGCTGCGCTCTGATATTGAAGGTTTCGTGTCGAAGCTGCCGAAGGAACCCCGGAATGGCCCTGAGGTCATTGGATCCATTGCTGTTACGTCTACAGAGTTAGTCCACGCTGACGAGGGTGAAGAGTTGCAAGAGACTGTGGCTGAGGAAAGTGAAGATAAGTCTTTGAAAAAGAAGAAGGGTAAAGATGGCAAGGCGAAGAAGCAGAAGGTGGCATTCCGGTTGTGTGACACAGAGGACATGAGCTATATCCCGCACATTGACGACAAGGTAGCGTTTGACGAAGTTTTGGACAAGCGTACTGGAAAGGTGAAGGCCGTAAAGGTTCGTGTTGTACAACTGAACCCGAAGAACCGCGAGACTGGTGTGATTAACGCCATGAAGGAGGACTTTGGATTCATCAAGTGCGCCGAACGATCAGGAGATGCGTACTTCCGCTTCTCGGATGTGATGGGGACGAGCAGGAGCTTCAACAATGGCACAGAGGTGGCGTTTGATGTTCTCGTAGACAATAAATCCGATCACATTCGCGCGACTCGTCTGCAGATTCTGCCTCGAGGGACTGTCAAGTGGGAAGACGTTGCTGCTGAAGATCTGGAGGGTCAGATTGTAGCGGTGCCGAGCTCACGAAGAGGCCACCATTCAACTCGCGGTGGTCGTGGGGACAAGAAGCAACTGCAGAAGTTTGTTCATGGCAAAATTCACTTTGTGACACCGGACAAGCAGCACTTAATTGACTTTCTGCCGGAGCTGAAGGAGAAGCTTGATGCTGCGTTTATTTTATCAAGTGACGCACCAGAGGAGCCACAGAAGGAGGCAGCTGAGGGTGAAGAAGCCGAAATCCGCATCTCGTTCCCGAGCACTTTGTCCAAGTTTGAGCGTGCTGCGTTACACGAGTACAGTGACTGGCTCGGCTTGAAGCACGAAAGCAGCGGCGAAGGGTCTCACCGACAGCTAGAGATTGTCGGAAGCGAGAAGATTTCTATAAAGACGGTGGAAGAGAAACTTGCGGCGTCTGCACCGGAGCTGACTGTGGAATTCCAAGAAGACGATGTGAGTGACGTGAGGTATAACCCTCACGTGGGAGACCGCGTCAAGTTTGATCTTGTTGTGGTCAAGCGGACGAAGCAATTCCAATGTAAGGCGATCAAGTGTGTGGAGGCAGCGTCTACGAAGACCAAGGCAGCTAGTACGAAAACTGAAGCAAACAAGGGTGAAGGGTTTATTGTATCGGTGAAGCCTGAAGGATTTGGCTTCATCCAGCCTGCTCAGACCGTGCCTGGATCGTTGGAAGAGAACCTGTTTTTCCACATCAAGGAGATCACGACGGGGCAGACGTTGGCGGAATTGAAAGAAGGAACCGAGGTGCAGTACACTGTCTTTGTGGATGAGAAGAAGAAGAAGAACCGTGCCACTGCCATTAGTGTTGTACCGGCAGGCACGATCAAGACTGTGGTGTCGGAAAGTGTGAAGGGTGTTGTGACCAAGGCGAGTTTCTTGCAGCGCATGAAGGGAGGACCCAAGGGACGATTCACAAAAACGAACAAGGCAAGTTCGTTAGGACGCATTCGACTGGCTACTAGCAATGGCGAGGAAGACGAGGCTGGTAGTGAGGACGGAGACAGTGATGAGGAAGCTGAGGAATCTGAAGAGACAGCGCAGGAAAGCGGCGACGCAGAAATCGAGTCGAAGGATGCAAAGAAGAAGACGCAGAAGAAGAAGAGCAAAAAGGTTTACGTGTACAACATTCGCGACATCGCCGACCCGACTGTTGTGCTGCGTGAGGGTGACGAAGTGGAGTTTATTCCACAAGTGACATCCAAGAGCCTTCGCGCAGCTCACATTCGTCTCGTTACTTCACACGCCAAACAGGGTGTTGTCACTCGCATCACGGAAGACCTGGGTGGTGTTGTCCGTCTAGACGGCGATGAATCCTCAGTTGAGGCCCGTTTTACTGCTCGTGCTGTGCTGCGTGGCGATGTCCTGAGTGAGGGCGATCGCGTCGAGTTTGCGTACAGGCCGCCAGCTGCAGCTCCCAGCAAGAAGGAGGAAGACGAAGAGACCAAAGGCGAGGAAGCTAAGGAGACAGAACCTGTTCTCGGTCAAGCGTTGAGTGTCCTGCGTCTCTCCTCGTCGCCGAGTCGAGCAGCTGCGCCACAAAGTCGAGGCTCTCGATCGGTGAACTCCACGCTTAAGGAAGCCATGCGGCAGGTTGGCGCTAACGCGATGGTGGCGTCTCGAATGGCCAAGGGCCCGGATGGAACGCGTGGCTTTGCCGAGGGCTGGAACTCGACGACTGAGACTACGGTCACGACAACAACTACAACCACAGAGACGAGTGAGGCGTAGACAGAGCGGTACGTGGTAGTATGTATCTGTAGGTGCTAGGCATGTAAGGAGCGCTGTCGATTGCTTTCTTATCTTCAGCTTAACGAGATGAATAGATGCTTCAAAAGACGAGAGCTATATGTGGTTACTTTAGGATCATTTGATCATTCTCTTCGCTCTCGAGCGTAGACGGAGAAGAATTTCTCGACGCGGCTTTCAAGTGAGACGTAGGGATCCGGGAATTTGTGGCAGGCCACAGCGATGAGCGCTTCCTCAAACTGTGGGTACGTCACGTCTTCGTCTTCTCCTGCTCTCCGTCCTCCTTTAGATGAAGACGAAGTGTCTGGTGCTGCACTCTTGTTGTTCCGCAAGACTTTGCTGAGGATGCCCAGGATTTTGTCCGACGTGAGCGTCATGTCTAGCACTCCACGGTCCAGTAGACACTGACTGAAGGTGAAGGCGGTGACGCGCTCGTTCTTGTTCTTATGCTTGGGGTCCTCGACGGCGTATTTTTCGTACATCTTCTTGAGGTCGTCAGTGTATTTGATACGCAGTCGATGGATCGTCGTGTCCTCGATCTGTTGGCGGAACAAATCGGCGTCGGAACGGAAGGCAAAAGGCAGAATGAAGTTGTCCACTAGCAAGCAAAAAGCTTCGGAGATCGTCACGCGGTTGGTCCTTTAAAAGATCAACATGAGAAGGAGGGTAATGACTGTCAACTCTTAGCTCAACGTACTCGACGGGATATTTCTTGCGTCCAACTCGGACCAGCGCTTCCAAGAACTCCATGGGCGGCAACGCGCGGTGTGCGTTCACAGTTTTCTGTACGCACCGACAATCGTACAATAAGTGTTAGTTGTCAGACAATAGAATAGGCACTACGTGCAGTTACTGCACTCACGGTCTTTGGATCCAATGCACGGATAATGTTCTGCAGGTCAGCGTTGGTCATGTTGCCTTCCAGCACGTGGCACTCAGTCAACAACTCGATGAAAACTCCAACGTTGATCGTGTTACTAGTGCCGCCCGATCGAGTAGCATACCCTCGGTAAATCCGCGCGAGGTCACAGTAGATCGTGACTAGATAACTCTGCAGCAGCTTGGCCTCCCAGTTAAAATCTTCATACGGCAGTGCCAAGTCCTGAAGCTTGTGCTTGGGGAGCTTCGCGAACGCCTCGTTCTCGTCGCGTAAGGACGCATCTGTCTTGGTTAACACACCCGTTTTACCTCGTGCTAGTCGAGCGTAGGACAGGAAGCATTTCCGCATCACGATGCGCTCAGCCTTGACCCAGAGTGCATGGCCTTCTCGCGACTTAAGGTCTTCAGTATCAATCCGTCGCTTGAGTTCCAGCGTCTGCGATAGCGCCAGCTTCACTTGCATACTCAAAGACAGTTCCTCTCCTGTCGTTGGATCTGTAGCAACCGTACCATCACCTTGAAGCTCTTGCCACTTGGTCTTGACGTCCTCCAATTGTTGCGTCAACTCAGTACACAACGAATAGTAGTCTGGCGCAAGACACGGCGAGAACGTGACGAAGAGGTAGGTGAGCGCTGCAAAGTTGAACTCCACGTGACCTGCTCGGATGTCCTTGGCGTTGAGGAGTCCGAGAGGTAGCCACATAGCCTGACCCAGTGTGTTAATCATGACTTCCAGTCGCTTCTCGATGCTTGTTTCGTGTCGAATATGCTCCAAGTATCTCTCCATGCTGATCTCCGTCAGATCCTCGCCGTTCTCACGCAACACGGACGTGGCTTCCAGTCGAGACGCAGTGCCGCCAGCAGGTCGTCGGAGGCGAGTTCGGCACATGGCAGCATGCAGCAACTTGGTCACCACGGCGTACAATTTTCCGTCAGTCAGACTGGAGTGGAAGTTCTGCATACGAGGCACTGACAGCCAATCTGGAGGTTGTCGGGCGATAAGAGAGTTCACCCACTGCGTCAGAATCGCTTCAGCTCGATCCACTGGCGCCTCGTACGCCAGCACGAAACTTGTAGGCTTCTCGTTACTTGCCTCTGCCGCTTCCATGTCGACCAGAGGGTTGTAGAACGATGAATGCTCCGGCTTGTCAAGTGACTGCGTTAAGTCTCGCGTGAAGATGTCGCTGAGGTTCTGTCGGCCTTCACTTGTACTCAGAACTTCGAGCTGCGTCTCCATCGACTGTGTCAGTGCAGCTACAAGCTGGAAGCTCGCCTTCTTATACTCGGTGCTCTCCACACGCAGTCGTTCCACTTCTTGCGGATTCACGACCTGTGCCTGCAACACGTTGACGAGCGCGTGTTTCTCTCGAAGTTCTCTACGCAGGTCTCTTAGTTCGCGGTCTTTGGCCTGCATCGACTTCTTCAACGCTGCGAGTTGTGCTTCCAGCTTCTGGACGATCTCTCGTTGCATGGCTTCGTGCACACGAGCAGCAGACTCACGTTCGAAGCCATCTCCGTGCAGCTTAGCTACCTCATGCGCCTTCTCTTTGGTCTCGCGTTGCTGCGACTCAGCGTACAGCATGGCTCCAATAATTCGTCGCTCGTAGATAAAGATCTGCCATGATTTCCAGAGCTGACGCATGCGCTGCTTCTGCAGCATCCTGACTGTGAGTTGAGTCTTCCATTTGGCTCTCCTAACAGCAGCTTTCCACGCTTGGAACACCCACTGCACCACCACCGCTGCCATGCGTCGAAAAGCTCGTGTCGTAGCCTTGGCGAACAGCGAATCCACTGCCTGTACCAACTGCGTCTTGTACCGTGCTCCATCCTGTTGTTTAAACTGCGTAAAACACGACAAACACATCTCTGCAAACCCTCCACACCCAGCACAGCGAGACGATGAGACCGACGAAGACGGCGATGCTGACCAAGCGCTGTTGACCTTGAGAGGAGCAATTGATTGCGCGCCACTACTAGCTCGTCTGGATGCAATTGGTGCGCTTTCCGGTCGAGTCTGTTGCTGTAGCGCCGCATCTTCCGGCGTGCCGATGATCTTGTTGAGTATCTCGGTAGACGAGAGAGTGACAGCTGCTGTACTAGGTCTCGCTTTACGACGGCTATTGTCACCGACTGCTGATGGACTTCTTGTGTCAACCAGCAAAGGTGGGCGCTTGGAACTTGCATTGGGAGAATTTAACGTTAACGGCCGCTTGTGACTCTGCTGGTTACCTTGGGGTGACGACGGCAGCGACGTTGTGCGGTCGATTATCGGCTTCCGAACCTTCACGGGAAGTAAGTGCGACCTCGAAGACGGCAACGCAGCGAGAGAAGCGGAGACAGATCGGTCCATTTCGTCCAAATGAGTCGCCCAGTCGGACCCCACGCTATTTATGACGTCGATGACGAAATTTAACTCGCTCGCTGTCACATTTAGCTTAACATTTAGAAACAGAACGTATCAAATCAGTTCTACAAGCGTAAAAATATTCGTATTTCACTGCCAGTTGATTTATTGTAAGGCCGCGAGCTGCTGGATGCTCGAAATGACGAGATTCACGTGATCTGATACCTCCCGAGCCTTCTCCTGCCACTCGTTTCTCTTCCTGCAATTGTCATGACGTAAATGTTGACGTTAAAAGAAGCCTCAAGCGGTAAAGCTGTTTTATCGTACTCTGTCAAATGGATGAGGTGGTTTTGCACGAATTTCTGGGCTTCAGGGACCGTCATTTCGACGTGGAAATTAAGTCCGATATCCACTGTGATAAGCGACGTGTCCGGCACCTTAGTGCGCACGTGGAAGCGCTCGCCCACGTCCAGTAGCGTGTGTACTGTCGATTTGTCCGGATTATTGGCATTCTGGGCCAGTTCTTGCAACAACTCACGCAGCTCCTGATACTCCTGCACTTCCTGGGCCAGCGCGTCGCGGTGCGCAAGTGTCTGCTTAAGTTGCGGGCGTAGAACCTCCTCTACGAAGGCGGTGTAGCGCTGCAGCGCGGCGGCGGACTCGGATGTGGACGACATTGACACGGTTTGAAAAGTGACTGGTGCTGAGTATGGAAAGAGGCAACTGGAGTTAAGTTGTAGATAAGAAACATAAGGAGAAACGCAACTTTAGCGAGAAGTTGAAGTCAAGTGCTTTGGTAAAAGCAAGATTATCTTCATCTTCACCACTCGAGTAGAAGGAGTCCACTTTATCTAGGCTAGATCCTGGCCTCATCAAATGTGATGCTCAAGGCTGAAGTGAAATGGCCCGTTGTCGAGTTTAGGAGTACGCGTCCGACGAAGTCATTGTCAACGAGATGAACCTTGAGCGATAGGTCCAAGGTAGCAATAACTTCCGAGCTGCTGCCGAAGACAGTTTTACTCTCTCATTCCACATTTTCCTCCGCTGTGCTCAAGCTCCACTCAAACCATCATCCCTGCTATCAAGATGACCATGGAGCTCAAGACCTGGCCCCACTGCAGCTCAAGAAGGAACGTGCTGGTGGCGACCTACCAGTGCTCACTAGCATGCTGCGATGCGGAAAGGCAGCCAACGACCGACGCAAAGAACTGATCAAAGTGATCGAACAGCTCCCGATACCGCGACATAATCTACAGGAGCCTCTCGGAACGCTACGAATTTGGACTAAACAAGGCCTTCCACTACGTCAAGCTGCTGCAGGATGACAACTATACCAACGAAGAGCAAACCGTCTAGCTGAATGCTTTGGGTGGACGAGTACCACTCACCTTGCATCGTCCTTCGGTATCTACGCGCAGATGGAATTGGGCCACGGTTCCAATGTGCAAGGTTTCGAGACCATAACTACGTATGACAAGGCAGCTCAAAGAGTTTATCATTAACTAACCAACGTTGGCATGCCGCAAGTGGTGGCCCGGGGATTTCGGCAAAACAGTAATCACTTGACTGTTCGTGGAAGGAAAGATGTTGGCATACAGTCGTTCATAGTGCAAGTTCGCTTTCTTGATAACCACACACCCATGCCTGGGATCGAGGTATTGGACCAATTTTGGGTTTAACGCCATTGACATCGGCGAGTGTTCCTTCCACAGCGTCTGCACGCCACGTGAGAACATACACTAGAGTTCTGCATGACGTTCGTCAAGCGTAAGAACGATACACTGGTATATTTAACAATGGTTCAAGTACGCGCATCGCTGGTCAAGGCGCTTGAGAGCGTCTTGCTACGGCGTCGACGATCACCGCTCGCTTTAGCACTGCGCGCATTCAAGGACGCAAACCGAGTCAACAGGGTGAGTTCCAAGTGCTTGACTTCTGGAACCAATAGAACGCTGTACACTGATTGCAATCGCGTACGCTTCACAATTTTCAATATCCTGGATCAACTGTGCTGAGTACGCATGACGCAGCACTCGCGAACATCACGAACGGGAACGCTAGTTATGCTATAAAATTGGCAAAGTTGCATGCGGTGTCGTCGAGATTCAAAGCCTGGATCTCTGGTAAGGTAGTCAGCGGTGTTGAGACTTGTCAGTGACTCTGTGCTGGACATGGATCCTCCACTCCAGTAACCGTGGCCACTTGTTCGCTGAGATTGCGGAGGCCAATACATTCGAAGGAACGTCGGATGTGCTGGTCCAACAACACGCTCATTATTTTCTTAAGGTTCTTGCATCACTACCTACAAACGTCAAGTCTGTGAATTTCTTGAACAACGCGTAAAGTTACTGCGATGTCAAAGTGCGCTGCAAGGTTCAAGTTTCGGAAGACTTCAGCAACTTCGACCTCGTACTCGAGGCGTTTCGTGTTCGCTCTTCCCGTTCTCTTCTGCTACCGGCTGCATCGATGCAAGCGAGGAGTTGCAGCAACGACTGCATGATCCCATGACACACGGTCTGCTGCGCACTCTGAGCTCATGCTGCTTGAAGCTTTCGTTCGTGGCATTGAGACGCTTCCAGTCTTCGCGGAGAAGCAAGTTCTAAGCAATTTATGCGCGTTTTGAGGTGCATGGCTCACTACCAAATCGCTAGGGGACTTCCGCCAAAGCAATTATCTTCACCAGCCCAAGTGCAGCTTGTACGCGACCAGATTGTTCGTCTCTTGCTAGTTGTCCGCAAGAACTGTGTGTTGCTCACGAACGCTTGGGATTGCAGCGACTTCGAGTTAAACTCGACCATCGGCGGGTACGACGGCGACATCTAGCGTGCTCTAGCTAAGCGCCTTGACGACGAGCCTCTTAACCAAACGGAAGTTCCCAGCGACTACTACGAAAAGTACTTGAAGCCTCTTCTTATCCTCTTGATAATTGGTACACATCTTCAACTTGTACCACTTCTTTGCCATTCGTCCAAATTAAATCTTATTGACCAATCATCACTTTGAAATCAGAGCCCAAGCACTGGTCAAAACTCGTCCACATCAATATGATGCACGAGGCGCAGGAAGTGCTGAGCTTCTGGTTCGACGGCGACCAAACGGAGACGTACCGCAGCAAGTGGTTTCCCTCCGATGGATCAGATAGGCAGAAGGCCACTGACGTCGAAGTTGCAGCGCGATTTGGCCCGTTATTGGCGCGTGCAGAGGCTGGAGAGCTCGAGAACTGGTGTGACGAGAGCCCCGACACTTGTGTGGCGCTGATATTGGTGTTAGATCAATTCTCTCGTCATGTGTATAGAGATCTCAGTATTACAGCCAATGCAGAGCAGCGAAAGCGCAATGACGTTCACGCCCTGACAATTGTAGAGCAGAGTTTGCTCCCTAACCGTTGGCACGAGACACTTGCTGTACCGCGCTTCGTATTCGCATTGATGCCACTACGTCACTCACCGACACCCGAACGACTCAATAACGTACTGGCAGCTATTGAAGCACGGCGCCAATTACAGGAACAGCATGGAGATTTATTAGAGAAGTTCCGACGTACCACCACCGGAAGACTTCAACATCTGCGAGGGAGTTCTGAGACCGATACGACGGATATTTCTGACGATGATATCCTGGAACGCGCCTTTATGGAGACAGATGAAAGTGACATGCCCAGGAATCGCCTGTATCGTGTGATGGACGAGTATTTAACGCAGATGAAAGCTGCTGAGTACTCTCATATGGCTGTATCATTGTCAGGCGGAGTCGACTCGATGGTGGTGGCGTATTTGATGCACAAGTTGAAGGAGAAACACGGAGGCTTTACGATTGTAGCAGTGCATCTGGACTATGGAAACCGACCCGAGAGTGGAGCCGAGTGCGACTATGTACAACGCTGGTGTGAGCGGTTTGGAATCGTTTTCCATGTCCGTAGAATCGACGAGGTGAAGCGCGCTACGACGCGACGTGACGACTACGAGAAGATTTCGAGAGAGATACGATACTCTACGTATGCAGAGGTCATGGAGAAGTATAATATCCCCGGTATGTGCTTCGGCCACCACCGGGGCGACGTGCAGGAGAACGTCGTCTCGAATATGATGAAGGGTCTGAGTCTGCTCAACCTCAACGGAATGCAGGCCAGCAGCATCGTGAACGGGGTGCGTATCTGGCGTCCGCTATTAGACTTCGATAAGGACGTCATCTTCGAGTTCGCACATCGGTACGGCGTACCATATTTCAAGGATACGACACCGAAGTGGAGCACACGAGGCAAGTTACGTAACCATTTGGTACCGCTGCTCAGGGACTTGTATGGAGACGGATTTCTAAACAATCTCTCTGCTCTTGGTGCTGAATCTACGCAATGTGCTGAGCTCGTGGACTCACGAGTTCTTTCTCCTATCATGAAGTCTGTCGGACAGAGCGAAGTGGCTGTGTGGGTGGACTGTGGCCTACTCAAAGACCAGCCGTTCTTTGTATGGAAAGAGGTATTCCGTCAGGTATGCCACTCCATCATGGGCAACAGTATGGTACGCGAGAAGCCACTGCACGAGTTGATCCAGAAACTGGAACGGCTACACGCTGGACCTGTGGGTAAGGCCAAGCACAAGAACAAGGATGCCGAGGTGGGGTCATGGGCTACGCTCAAAAAGGGTAACCGGTCATTTTTGACCAAGGACAAGCAGCTTATCATCTTCCGCGACCAGTTCTTCCCTCGTAAACCATACGTCGGGTCTCAGTTCCCTATAATTGCTGGTGAGACGTACGAATTTGGTCCTTGGAAGGTGCAAACGGAGCTGTTGGATGGCGACCATGCTACAGTTCAAGAGCTTCGAGACTGCAAGCCATTGACTGTGTGGGATCTCGTCCATGACAATGGACTGTCCTACGTGTTCCCCAATGCTCCGCAGTTGGTGATCGACTGCGACTCACGCTTCCACGTACTGCGCGCCATCGAAAAAGTCATCACGGACAATATGCCCATCGTGTCTTCCATCGGTGCTTTTGATGAAGCCACTTCAGAATGGGTACATGTCCAGTTGACGTACTCTCAACAGACCTGTCACTAAAGTGAGAACATGATTTTCTACCAATCAAAACTAGCGTACCATTATTATGGTACACGTCCTTTTGACTGGCCCAACTCCATTTTGCCAATACTGCGTAAGGAGCTACCCACCTTCTTGTCTACCTTCTCGCCATGTCGGAGCTGACCCCTGAAGCCTCCCGCCTGTACCGCGTACGTAAGACGACGGTCAAGATGCTGCACAACCGCGGCTACATCGTCAGCGAGAACGAGCTGGTGATGACGCCCGAGGCTTTCCAGACGCAGTTCGGAGACAACCCGACACGCGAGATGATGACGATTCTCGTGGAGAAGATCGACGACCCGAGCGACAATTTGTTTGTGTTTTTCCCCGAAGACACCAAAGTGGGTGTCAAGCCCATCCGCAACTACTGCAACCGCATGAAGGACGAGAACGTGACCAAAGCCATCCTCGTGGTACAGGAAGGTATCACCCCTTTCGCCCGCCAGGCACTTAACGAGATGGCTCCACGCTACAAGATCGAGCACTTTAAAGAGACTGAACTGCTTGTGGACATCACCGAGCACACGCTCGTACCTGTGCACCGTGTACTCGGTCGTGACGAGAAGGCGGCACTGCTTAAGCGGTACCGTATCCGTGACTCGCAGCTGCCGCGTATGCAGGTGACGGACCCCATTGCGCGCTACTACGGCATGACTCGTGGCCAGGTGGTCAAGATCATTCGACCTTCGGAGACTGCTGGACGCTACGTCACGTACCGTGCCGTCATCTAAGGAAGTAGCCATCTTCACGAATGAAACAGGATGTAGCCATCTTCAATAGATATTTTTTTTCAAGCTATGTTGCTATACTGTTTTAATCGCTTTCGAAGAGATCGGACTCATATCCATCGTCCGAGGTTTTCCTTGCAGGTGTGGGTTTACGAGGTCCCGTTTTCTTAAGAAGAGCACGGATTAAAGATGGCTTCACGCGCTCTTCCTCGTCTCCGTCATCGTATGAGATATCACAGCATCCATTAGGATGCACACGCTCGATAGTACCTGGATAGTAGGTTTCTTTACCACCGAAACGAGCTTCCACGCGATCACCTCGACTGAATTCTGGTTCAAATTCGTCGTCCGAGTCTTTCTTCGGCTTAGATTTAGGAGCTTTATCAACCTCAATTTCATCGTCAGTGTAGCCATCTTCATCATTATCAGGAGCGAGCAGTTCAGGTGCCAAGCGCTCGAGAATCTTCTGAGGAGACCGAATGAGCTTGACGTCGTACGTGCCTTCAGTTCGACAATTGCAGACTTTGCCTCTTAGATATTCAGTACGCTGTCGGACCATAACTCGATCTCCGTCACGATAAATCCTGGGCTTTACGTTGGCAAGAGTTAATGCGCTACGTGGCATACGCTTCAGTGTTTGAGCTAACCCGAACTCGTTCACTAAGACGTCGAACGTTCCATCAGTACGACACAGGATTATTTTCCCCTGTCGTCGAGTTTTGGTGCCTTTATGCGCGATCGTGACGAGTGTACCCATGTTCAACCCCTTGGTGGTCTCGCTGTGTAGTTCGTCCTCGGGGTCAAGCAAACGCAAGCCACTGAACTCGACGTTGCGTAAGTGACGCCCACTGTCAAAATGTACATCAGCCACGAAGTAGTCGCGATAAATGCGTTCAATCGTGCCTCTGCCATGCACCATACTTGCAACTCGAGCTCCTGGTTCAAAACCTCTTCGAGTCGGACGGTGAGATGATCGAGTACTCTCGTTAGAAGATGTTTCTGTCGCAGTAGAAGTATCGGATGAACTTGGCCGGTGATGATGGCTTTTTCTCTTGTGTTTTGAACGACTTTGACGGCGTTCTGAGGCTGTGGAGTCGCTGTCACTATCGTGTTTACCGTCGCTGTCATGTTTTCTGTGACGAGAGCTGCGCTTTTTGAGCTTTTTGCTTGTCCGACGCTCTTCTCGGCGTTGTTGTTTACGTCGAAGTTCGTCAACTTCCTTTTTCCATTGAGAGCCATTAGATTCAGCAAGTTTTCTTCTTAAGAACTCGTCGTAGTCCGGCATGTTCTTGTATGCACGATGACGAGGACTCTTACTGGCAGTTCGTACAAAGACTTCTCGTTTTTGAGTCCTGTCATTGATATCAAGGAGAAGATCTCGAGGATAACTCTGGTTGGCATCGAGTCGCTTCATGAGTCGATGGAATGCCGTTCGAGAGATGTCTCGACGACGGATTCTACCCAGACCTTCGCGTTCAAGATAACGCAACACTTGCTCTCGAGACAAAACTGCGCCAAGTTCCAACGCTGCTTGAGCTGCTTCAACTGCATTTAACATACAACTCTCGTCTTCATCCTCGCTGTTTTGTTTACCATCGTCGCTGGAGCTACGAACTTGTGTACTGTGTCGCCTTACGAACCGATCAAACGCTTCGTTCACTTGCTGTTCACGTCTACTACGTCTCTGGGACTTTTCGTCGTCGCTGTCTTGAGCTTTTCCTTCTCGTTCAGCACATTTCCCTTCATCTTCGTCAGATTTACTGTCTTCTTTGAGTTTAGGAACTGCCTTTCTGTCCTTCTTGTCCGATTTCAACTCGTCAGGAGGTTGAGGACACATTCTCACGTGTCCAGAGCTATGCAAGTGGACCACTCGACTCCGATGTACCAGAGCGTCATTACGAAGCGATCGCTTGATAGAAGCGGCTTCTTGTTCACGAGCGTAGACTTCTGCTGCAAATTCCAAGCAAGCTAACGTGAATTCAGGGAACGCAAGAGTAGTAATCTTCGGCTTTGTATCCGCATTCGCTCTCGATACTTTTGCTGGCCAGAAACTTGCACACCAAACGTTAACTTCATCGCTTGGAACAGCTGGAAAGAGCGTTGATAGCGCACGTTGCACTACAGTTCGAGGCTTCAGGCGTGTGGAATGAACTGGTTCATAAGACGTAAAGAGCTGCTGGAGTCTCGAGACGCCGCTAGTCTCATTGGAGTCCACGAGTTGAGCGTATCGTGCAACTAACTGCGCAAAGCTCATAGTATCACCGGATTCCTCAATATCATCCTGTGCGTCCAGCCATCGACACGCAAGCTCTTTGCTCTGAGTATCGCTCTGTCCAAGTTCTATCAGTAGTCGAACTAAACCTGCTTCATCGAGAGAGTTCCCTTGAACTTGTTGCTCGAAACATTCCCGTAGGTTTTTGAGGTCCAGTACTGGGAGTCTTGGACCAAAGGCGTGCACTGCAAACGATCCTTGAGTCACTGTCGACGTATCTGCTGGTTGCGTAGCCAACTTGGAGAAGGCTCGAGTGAACGCCGGGAATGAGACTTTACCTGTACTGGAAGCCTCTTTTCCGAACAATTCTTCGCTGTATAATAAACGCTCTACCTCCTGTGGTGAAGCCTCCACTACACCGTCTTTGTTTGCTGTGGGAATTGTACACCGTAGACGTGAAAGAGCTTGTTTTACTTGATTAAAGTCGAGAAATCCATCTTTGTCGGCGTCCAGACGGTCGAATGTCGTCTTGAGCTGAGCTACAGCGCTCACTCGGTCGATATCAAGTACAGCTAGATAGTCTTCAAGCTGCGTGAAGTCAAGACCGCGAGCGAGAAGCTCTCGATCTCGTAGTCGATCTAGGTATGTTAGCAACTTGGAACGATGCAGTGGGTGAGTAATCCCAAGTAAAAGTTGTAAATCGCTTCCTTCCAGCAACACCAACGTACATCCGTCAATGTTATTTCGCTCAAAAACCTCTCGATATTGAGGCAACTCAACATCATGTTCAAGCCACTTAAGAACGTGATCTGTTGTCCAGTCTTTCACTTCGACAGGGGTTTGATCTGATGGTGTTGGAGTTCGAACTGGAGATCGTTTACTCACTGATTTCGTGAGTATTTGCGTAAATTCAGAGTGTCTTGCTCGCGGGAATAACGCCGAACTTCTGGTCTCTTCGGTCTCACCTAAAGCGTTCACAAGGTACACGGGAAAGTCTCCGCAATCTGCTAGAAGCTCTCGGCAGCTACCACAAGGGAATGGCAGTAAGTCACGCTGTTCGCTACAAATTGCCATCGCTACTATGATAGGACTTGAATTTGCATAAGACGTGAGCATTTTCATGACTGCAGCATGTTCAGCACAAAGCACAAGCGCTCCGTTCTCGATAGCACCAGCTGAGTAAATAGTTTGAGACTCGGTGAGTAGAGCAGCTCCAATACCAACACCTTTTGACCGAGAAGACCGAGCTTCACGTGCTGCAGCTTCAAGAACATTCTCTATATCTCTCTTTCGTCCACTGGAGTCGGTCATAACACCCGAAAAATGTCGTTTATATAGAGTTCGACGAGCATCTAAACGCTGTTGCAAAACTTGATCATCTTCTAGAGTCTCCTTATTGTGATACAAGACGGACTTGCTGCTACAATTTCCAAGGTGGCGAGAGCTGGAATCGAGTCCATAGACTGCTGCAAGTCCCTGCATCTTGGCAGTTAATAGAGTTTGACGTTCTTTTGATCCGGTCAGATACTGGTCATGTCGATGTCGCTGTTCAACTTGACGAGGTTTCTTGTAATTAATATTTTTCTTTTGTTTACTAGCTCGAGCTTCTGCTCTTGCAAGGCGCAACACGCGGTGCAGATCATCTTCAAGCTGGTTGGACATAGCGATGAATGTGAAAATATACTAAAGTGATGCCATTCTTGACTGCCATCACTGCAAGATCCCATGGCTGCGCAAATAGCTTGCGATGATACAATACACAACTACTGGCGCTATTAAAGTCAAATTTTGCAGTCTATTGTCATATTTGTGATAGCGATATGCACGGCCAACATCGACGGAGTTCCCAACGCTCTGCACCTATGCGACTTCCCGAGCTGGTTCGCCAGCCTCTTGTCGTGTCTGAGCGTCTGTGAGTTTGCCTGTCCTATCGATTTTGTCACTATTGGAGCTCCCGTCTTCGTCCTCTGGCTTGGCTTCCTCTGCAGCCGGCGTTGACACCTTCACAGCAATGTCCGAACTGTCACTTGTAGTCTCTGTGTCCTGCTCTGCCGTAGCGGGAGTCACAGGCGTCACGGGTGTAATAGACGCCTGTGTGGTAGCAACACTGCTGTCATCTCCCTCTGTCGCTGTCTCCTCACCCACTTCAGGGTGGAAATGCCTCATTTCGTCCCAGATCAGTCTCTGCAGCACTAGTTTGGTCAATTTCTCGTTCTCAAAGTCGAAATCGAAGCTTGAAGTGGCGATGGTCTCGTCCTCCACATTGCGAATCGAAGCCAAATACGGGTGAGCCAGAGCCTCGTCCACGCTAATTCGCTTGTTCGGGTCAATCACCAGCATCTTCTGCAACAAGTCCAGTGCATCTGGAGGCGAGTCTGTGAACATATGAGCCAGAGGCTTCGTCGGGTTGGGTCCGCGCTTCTGGAACTCCGCGTTCATGAACTTACGAGCACGAGCGTTGGTCAAGAAGTACAGATCCTGGTCATTTGGAGCCCCCAGAGCGTTCATGATCAAGTGCAGCTGATCGATATAGTCCTGTCCGGGGAAAAGTGGCTTACGTGACATCATCTCAGCGAAGATACAGCCCATGGACCAGACATCCACCTCACGAGTGTATTTCATACACCCCAGCATAATCTCCGGTGCACGGTACCATCTCGTGACTACGTATTCTGTCAATTCCAGCTCCTCTTCGGGGAAAACGCCCCTGGCCAGGCCGAAATCGCAGATTTTCAGCTCGCAATTGGCGTTTACCAGTACGTTCGAAGGCTTCAGGTCTCTGTGGATCACATTGGCCGAGTGCACGTACTTCATCGCACAGAGCATCTGGTACATGAAGAAGGCGATGTGTTCGTCCGAGAGCGCGTGTCTCGAGTAGATGACGCGGTGTAGATCTGTAGCCATCAACTGGGACACAATGTACACGTCTTCGAACTTGGAGAGCGCCACAGGCTCGAAAATGTCCTCTACGCCCAGAACGCACTTGTGGTTCAAGTGGCGCATGAGTTTAATCTCGCGTACAATGCGTTTAGCATCGGTGAGGTCGTCAAACGCGCGCTGGATGTTCTTAATGGCCACGGTGGTGCCTGTTTTGGTGTTCGTAGCGGAGATTACCACTCCGTAGGCGCCGGAGCCGATCGTTTTGACATATTCGAAATGAGAGGGAATCTCAAATCTTGTATTGGACGTCATAAAGCATTGCGTCCCGGGGCGTGTGGCTGGCAGGTACTTGGGTTTATTAGCGGCGTTGGCGGCTGCGGCTGCCTCGTCGGCTCGCTGCTTCTCGCGCAGCTTCTTGGCCGCCTCGGCACGACTGCGTTCCTCCTGTTTTAAATCCTCGGTCGCTTGCTTCCCGTAGGTAACAAAACTGCCATCTTTTGTCGGCACCATGGCGTGGTTCCAGCGTATCGCTTCTTGGAGGGCATTCTTCCAGGCCTCGTAGGATTTCTGGTCCTCTGCCTCGAGTGTCATGACCTTCGTGCCGCAGCGCAGTTCGATACGACGCGGGTATTTGGCCGTGTTGACGTGTCCCAACAAGTGTCCCGGTCCGATGGGCGTCTCGGAGCATAAAGTTAGAGAGTCCTTGCTGGTATAATACCCCAGAGTCATGTGCCGCTCTTCGAGTCGCAATATGAAGTAGCGGCGCGACCACATTTTGAGTCGCAGACCCTGTTTCAGCAAATACCCTTCCTGAATCACGTCGGCCGAGCGGAATACTACGGCCGGACCAGAACGGCTCGGAATCGCCTTGCCGTGTAGCCACATGGAGAAGAGCGAGCGATTCTTGGTCACGTACACACCATCGCCATTCTTGTCCTCGGATGCGCGGCCGGCGCCGTCCTGCGAGCTCATTATGGGCGGTAAGAAGGAGGGCGAACACTGGGCGGTTTCTTGCCGACTGCCGACTGTGGAATGAGGTGGCAGCAATGGTTTTGAGAATGTGATAGATGATATTTCTGTTTTCTAACTCCTATGTTATTTGATAATGTGCTTTGCAAACGATTTTGTTGTCAATGTAACTTCTTAATATGTTGATTTTGATATCTGATAGAATTGCAAAATAATGTTTGTTGAATAGGATGAGATTATGAAGGTTTTGTGGTAATGGAGATGTTACGTCGTTTCCGGCTGTGCGATCTGGGGATTAAATATTAGGCTGGTGAGTTCGAACCTTCTGCTTGCGAGTTGTGGCTGCGGAGAGGCATCGCCGTGGTGCTCAGTTTTGAGTGAAGATGCCGTGGCATTACAATGCAGTGACAAGCTCGGTGGTGCCAGCACCACTATTATACTAATCGACTTTGTTTCAGAGGAAACGCTTCGAGTAACTCGACGAGTTAGCTCCGAATTAGCTCACTCATACTGAAGCTCCCATATGCCATCGAGCCAGCGACTGTAACTCGCTGAACCTACGTATTCCGCCACCAAGTCCGACGCAGCGAGCACTTCAACAACAACGCAACAAGACTATCGACAGCGGAGACTGCACCGAAGATTTTCGTCTGCATTCGTCTGGCAAGAATCGTGTCCTCGCTGTCAGCTCATTGTAAAATTTAGAAACTTCAAATGACTCAATCCGTGTCATTTCTAAAGTTTTTTTCTGCTTGGTTTCACTTGCCCATCACGCAAACTGCAACTATAACAGTACAAAATGCTATTTGCTATGTTCTACTTCTTCGCCTTTTTCGAGGCCTCTGGAATCTCTGGGAGGCGATCACCTGGGTTATTACACTCCAGCAAAGGCTCAATGAAGCCCATAGAGATGGCCTGGAAGTGCTGGCGTCGTCTCCAAAGATTCGGCAGTAATTGCCGTGGCACAGGCGTGGAGCCCATTCCGGTCAAACACTCAGGCCACTCGCCCTTACCCGAAGGTTCACGTCGTGCTTGACGTGGAGTCACATGGGTCGGCATCATGTTAAACACGAGATTCGGTTGCAACAGCTTCAGTTTGTGCAGGCGGAACGGCACGGGATCCACGAGCGACCGGCCGTTCACATACAGCAGCTCGGCCGGCGCGCTGGCGTTCAATGTCGGATCAAAGTGCGCCAAGCTACCGCAGAGCGTGTCCGGATGGCGCTCCATGTCCTTGTTGGAAATATCTGACACGACACTGGCACCCCATGGTGAGAAGAAGTACGGCGTATGCGAGAGCTCGTACGACAGCCAAAACGCCTCCTTATCACCCCAAGAGAACTCGTAGATGAAGCGGTGCTCGGTGATTAGAAACCACAAAACGCTCATGGCCTTCTCAGCGTTTCGTTTGTTGATCAATAGCATGGACGAGTCCTGCTCGTGCGCTGTCTTACCGCGGTACGCAAAGGACTTCTTGAAAGCAGGTGACGGATCAGCATATGCGAGTCCGAAGCGCTTGTAGTCGAAGCTCTTAAGCCACTGGTGCAGGTAGATCGGACCTTTGTCCGTCTTCTTGTTAAGATACTGGTTGTTGTTGATCACCCGGTCGTAGAAGAAGAGCGTGCCGTTTTTCTTGTACCCTTCGTTATTACGCAACACTGCGGGATCTTTTAGCAGAATCGCGTCAGCATCCAGGAAAATGAGCTCTTCGAAGCTGGTGAAGTGCACGGCCAGTGGTTTGATCCAGTAACTCTGGAAGCTCTTGGCCAGTTCGTCCGATAAAATCTTCTTGTTGACATACCGCTCGCACAAATCGATGACTTGAATGTTGTCATCGAGACCGAAGAGAAGATCGACGGAAGGTCTCGTGAGATCATGACAATGGTGCACCTCGATGGGCTCTTTATTGCCAAGACACCGTAACTCACGGATTAGAGAAATACCGAGCTCCAAGATACCGTCGTGCAAGCACAAGAGAATGCCTTTCGATCCTTTCTTGATGACTTGACGAGGCTCGGCAACACGCTTTGGTTTCTCAGTAGGTTTTTCCGTTGGCTTCTCGGTAGGCTTCGGCGTTGGTTTCTCGGTAGGCTTCGCCGTAGGTTTCTCAGTAGGAGCTGTTGTAGGCGCTACCGTCGTAGAGATGGGTAGTTGTGTTGTTGGTTGTGGTTCTACTGAGGTCGAAGTGTTGTCCGTCGAGGCGGAAGCTTTCAGCGACCACGACTCCTTTGGATCAACATCAGGCGTGTTCTGAGCTGCCAAGGAGAACGCTTTCTGCATGGTTGCACTACGGAGATTGTATCTTTCGCTGAGGCCTCCATCGCTCACGAACGCGTACTGCTGCGAGAGTGAACACACGCCACAGAAGAGCATAAACGCCCCCAGTCCTCGGATGTACACATTGCTGAGGAAGCGACTATCTCGAATCCGAGTTCCACACTCAGACGCCGGCATGCTCGAAGCAAGTTGATCAAGTGACGAAGATCCAGATTTTTATCGAGTGAGCGCAACGCGACCCCTATCAACACTGTTGGCATGCGATCAATCAATGCCTGTGCCTAACCAATGCTCAGGTATCTGTAACTCCTCCAAGGAGTTTCAAGAGATCCGTTAACGTGGTAACGTACAAACTAAAAAAAATATCCAACATTTATTTTTCTTTACTCATTGTCGGATAGAAAAATGAAGTTAAGCTTCTTGAAAGCCACGAGCCACGCCCTGTTCCTCGGCTTGTTGAGACGCAAAGTAGTTGAAGATCTGCTCCAGTGACGTTTGCGAGACGCTGTACTCTCGGATGTGCATCTTTTCCTTAATCTCTTCCACAAGAGCAAACACCTTCGACAGCCGCAACTCATCATTCGAGCCACGCAACTTAAAGCGGCAGAAATCGTTCTGACGCTCCATCACCGACACGCCACCGTGGCTGAACGAGTAGCTCAGAAAGTGGAACAATGCATCGAACCGCGTTTCCTCCAGACACCAGGACAAGAACGCCTCTGCGCGAATGTATCCATCGCGTTCCAGTACAGCAGCGAGACCGTATCCTGTCGGGTGCGAAGCCACCACTCGCTGGGCCAGTTCTTCATCTCCAAACGACCTGCACTTGTCTTCTAAATCCTCACGAGTGACGATCTCTTCAGCTCCTCCAAAGTGTCGCTGCACCAGTTCATCCAGCTCTTCTTGGGACGGATTAGCCAGCTTGACGTCGAAGACCAGACCGTCGCCAAACCGAGACTTCAAGTGCTGCACACTACCCAAGCAACGCAGACGACCGCCCACCATGATACCGACACGTGAACACAGCGCCTCCGACTCCTCCATACTGTGCGTTGTAAGCACAATCGTCGAGTTCTTGCCACGAGTCGAGATATCCGCGATGACGTCCCACATAAAGCGACGAGAAACCGGGTCCATACCCGTCGACGGCTCGTCCAGGAAGATGATCTGCGGGTTGCCGATCATAGCGATAGCCACCGACAACTTGCGCTTGTTACCGCCACTCAGACTACCAGCCAGTTTGTTCTCAAAGTCTCCAAGATTCAACTGCTTGATCTTGTCCTCTACGACTGTGTTCAGTTGAGAGCTTGGAACGCCCTTGATCGATGCGAACAGCTCCAGATGTTCACGTACTGTCAGTAGCTCAAAGAGAGCATCAAACTGAGGGCAGTAGCCAATCTGGCGTCGAACTTCGATCTGTTGCGTTAAGATGTCAAAGCCGCCGAGTGTAGCAGTACCGTGGGTGGGGAGTTCATCGCCAGTGAGCATCTTCATCGTCGTCGTCTTGCCAGCGCCGTTAATACCCAGGAAACCGAAACATTCACCGCGCTTTAAACCGAACGACAAGTTACGAACCGCGACCTTGCCGCCTTGATACACTTTACGAAGGTTCGATAACTTGACGATGTCGTTGTCTGCCTCTCCGTTAGCTACACGCTGCGCCTCCTTCACAACGTCCTCGTCTTCCTCGTACGGCTCGTCTTCAACGTTATCACGGCCACTCATCCAGTCTTTCACCTTGGGAAAAGTCATAGCGTAGTCAATACCCACAGCCAGGAAGCCATACAGAATGGCCGTAACGAACAGGTAGATCATCTCCCAACCCATAAGGTCAGTACTGAACGGACTCGTCTTGGTCTCGTCACTCTCTCGGATCGTAGTGAGCTCGTTTAGCACCAGATTCAACAGGCCATAGCCGAGATTAAACAGAGGAGACAAGCGCCAGAAGAAGACCAACACTGCGTTGATATCTTCCGTTGACTCGATCACATCCAGAATAAACGCCACGACCATGAGCACCACGCCGATGATGAAGTTGATCATGATTGTGTACGTTTGAGACGACGCGTGCTCCTTGAACAGATATGACAGGCAGTACGTGAACGGACAGATCGCCAATCCGAATAAAATGAACAGGACGATGACGGCCGGGAACGTCTCGGACGTGCAGCTGTTGCAAGCCGAGCTGCCCGTCATCGAGTCGATGTTGAAGCCCTTGATCATGATGATGGCAGCAGCACACGGAATCAAATACAGCAGGAAGTCCCAGATAAAGTTGGACAGCCAGAACGCTCCAAGTGATACACCCGATACCAATTGCTGGTGCTTCGAGTTGTGGCTCGACTGTTTCTCCTTCACCAGGAACGTCACGATAGACGCCGGGTAATACGTGAAGGCGATGCAGATGAACAAGCACGCTGTAAATGCCAGGAAAGACCCGAACAAAGCCTTCGTATCAGCAGTCAAAGGGAGCGGGTGATTGTTAACAACCAGGTTGACGTTCGAGCCATCGGAACTCGAGTTGGATGCGAAGAACCGGTAGATCGTCTGGTCCATTAACGCCTTGAAAATAATAGCACTGTGGGTGGACGTAGTGTTGATAAACATGTTGTAGCCGAACAAGTTCTGGATGCTGTCTCCGTGCACCAAGTACGCGCCGTATTGGCCTTCAACTGTACTGGTATCGACACCGTAACCACGCTTGTAAATCTCCTGACCCAGACGTAACCCGTATCCAGTGGCACCAGTAGTGTTGACTGCAGGGTTCGTGTACGTCACACGAAAGACTGTGGGCGAACTGGAGTCGTACGCTGGTTCAGACAACGCCAAAGCTTCAGTGGATACGTCGGTAAAGTACGAACTTCCCATCGCAGTGCTGCACCACTGGTCATCTGTTGTACCGGGTTGACAGAAGTACGGCGTTGGGGTCTCAGTTCCATAGTCAAACTTGTCCGTAGTTAACGCCAGATTCGGATCGTTCTTCGTGAAGCTGGTGCCTTGAAGCAAACCCAAACCAACCAGCAGCAAGAAAACCGGGAGTGCAAGGCTGTAAAAGATCATCTTCTTGTCACGCTTGGCATATCGGAACCGCTTGAGAACGAGAGCTCGTAAATGAGTCATGAAGAACGATCCAGTCTGTTCAGGAAGAGCACCCGAATCACTTGAAGCCGTGGGGCTTTGCACGGGTGTTTCTGACCTGCCACGGTTCCCAAGCGTATGCTGGTTACCGTGATCATCTGCCTCCGCCACCTTAATGAACACTTCCTCTAGTGTGGTCACAGATACACCATAAGATAGCAACCCAAGCTTCTGCAGGTTGTCGTCCATATCCGCAAACATCGACGCGAACTTCGACGAGCTCGCAAGTGGCAGTTGAAACGCAATCTCACTACCAACGTTACTCAGCAATTGCGCAGCGGGCACTCGTGACGTCACAAAATCGATCACTGCGCTGTCCTTGCAGGTGGCGTCGTCCTTCACTAAAGTCAAGTTGTAGCCTGCTCCAAAGCGGTTCTTTAAGAACAGCGACGAGCCGCAACAACGCAGCTCTCCTTCAGCCATAATGGCAATACGATCACCGAGAATATCCGCTTCGTCCATGAAATGTGTCGTCAATACCATGACTCGATCATTGCGGTTGTTCAGCAGGATCTCCCACGTGCTACGACGACTGTATGGGTCCATACCGGACGTGGGTTCGTCCAGGAACACCAACGAGCTGTCACCCAGTAGAGAGACAGCAACAGACAGCTTTCGCTTCATACCACCAGATAACTCCGTCGACTTTACGTGGCGCTTCTCGGTTAACCCAACTTCACGGATCTGTCGGGTGATCACAGCGTCCAGCTCGGTCTTCGTGTAGCCCTTGATCCGTCCAAAGAAGAGCAGATGTTCTTCAACAGTTAGCTCTTCAAAGAGTACATCGTGTTGGAAACAAAGACCCAAAGACTCGCGAATCTCGTCCATATCTTCGGTGATCGACATGCCGCGGAACGTAGCGTCTCCACTCGATGGTGCAATCATACCAGTAAGCATCGAGATAAGCGTCGTCTTACCAGCACCATTATGTCCTAACAAACAGGTGATCTGGTTCTTGTACATGGTCAGATTAAGGCCCTGCACTGCCACTTTTTCACCACCAGGGACTGGGAACACCTTACGTAATCGCTGTACTGCCAACACTTCACCCTGACGTTCCTGTTCGCGGAGTTCTGCGTTCACTGGCTCGAAGTTGTGGTTCACATCGACGGAAACACTGTCCAGCAAGGCCTCTCCCGGGTCGGAGTCCTTTAAAGCCTCACGCGCTTTACGGCGACTCCTCCAATACGAAGGAGACACCGGGAAATACCACTTCAATGTGGTACCGTGTTCCTTGGGGATAACCTTCTCGAAGTAGAGTCCCAGTAGTGTATACAACACCGTGTCGATAGCGAACATTAGCAGCGATCGGCTGAAGCGGAAGTTGTCGCTTAGTACACTCGCATTGGAGAAGTTGACGCCTGTTCCTGTAGCCTCCAAGTTCGACAGCACCGTAACACCAAGTGACAGTGCGACTGGAGAGAGGATACACCCCGCTGTCTTCTGGTTCTCAGCCGTTTCTGTTGTGAACGCTGCTGATACGAAGTACATGAGGAAGAAGACCACCATTCCGACGAACGCTCCAACACGAGCTTTACTGAAGATGGTGCTGATCATGAAGCCGTAAGCCAGGACACTGAGACTGAAGAGGAAGAAGAAGAGGAAGATCAACACCACTGAACTGTTCGAGAAGAGTCCAGCCATACCCATGAGAGCTTGTAGTATCGACCCGAAGAACAGGATCAGGATGTACGTGATGTACCAGGACACGACGATAGCTTTCTCCTTTACACCCAGGATCTTCATATACTCACGCAGACGCAGCTCCTTCTCTTGGATAAGAACCACCAGAATCCGAGAAATCGAGTACAAGTATGACAAAATGAACACGATAGCGAACACGTCCGACACTTGGTCATAGAATGGAGAGCTGATGTACGCTTCAATGGGGAATGGCGCCACCGACGCGCCAAGATACGGCTGTGGAGCCTGTCGCAGTGGCTTCAGCAATGCTTCTACTGTTTCATTCGGGAAAAAATCCTTTAGACTTGAGAATGTAGCGTCCGACCCAGCGATATTCTGGACAGCAGTGGAGATAATCACATCATTATCCAACGACGACAGCAGCGCGTCGTCTAGTTCTGTTGATACCTCTGCTGTCGTCTGTGGTCTTTGACACTCTCCATTCGTTGTCCTAGTAGAAGCGTCCCATTGAGGCATACACGACACGAATCTGGTCACTAATGTCTGCAGCGTCATGAAGCCCGTGATGGAATATCTCGTGTAATAATCCATGCTGATAGATTTTTGGAATGGCGAAATCTGCGGCGGATCTCCTCCTGTTCGGGGGACTAATCCAATGGCTCCTCGTCGTCCAAGTGTCGAATTTAACCTCACAGTGTACTCGATATCTTGGAAAGACCCGATATTATCGTCATCTGGGTAGGAATCAAACACGATACCTCCGTAGATATGAGGGTTTTCCAAACTTGAAGCGTAGTCTTGGCCACTCACATAGTCCTCCATTGCTTCTTCCGTGTCAAAGAACTTGACACTCTCCATAAAAGACGGAAATACCGCCGATGTAGAGGTATTTCGTAGGTTAATTCGTGGGTACCATAACTCCATAGTTTGCATGAAATAGTCCCGCGTAAACGTGTTATCCGGGGCAATAGCGATCTTGTAGGGTGCTACTTTGCCCCTACACGACGTGGGTACAGCATATTCGGACGTTGGGTCGATGTCCACCAAACCTCTTGTAGTTACTCCAGTCGTACAGTTTTCTAGGTCTGCGGACGATAGTTCGTCCATTTTCATGCCTTCTGATATGGACAGACTACCCATATACAACAGAATTCCCCACAGTGACGTCTCGTGCATCGTAAACTTGGGTAGAACGGCGGGGATACCGGATAAGGTAGTGCCCGACGTCTGGAACAGGTTGTAAGACGTGCCCAAGGTGTCGTCGCCAGTGACGCTCTCGTCATCACTCCATCCTTCGGGTACGCTTACGCCATCCACTAAAGTCTTGAGTAACCCCATAATTAAGATGAAGATGCAGGGTAGGGCGATCTCCATAAAGGTGGCGACGGGATGGCGTCGCTTAAGTGTCCAGTTCTTCCATAGTAGAGTGCGGATGAACAGCCACGTGGTGCGGCGCTCGGCCAGCGGCGGAGAGGAAGAAGATACCATCTCCTTGCCGCCCAACATGGCGGTCTGGGACGACGACCGCGTCTTGTCCATCGACGGAGTGACTTGCGCTCTACCTAGCGAAATTGGGTATGACCGGTCGAAGTAGTGAGCACTAAGATGTCATAACAGATATGTTACGAAAATCGTGGTTAGTGTGGTTTATATGAATTATCTGACGAAGTTCGGATGCCTTCTGGAGAAAGAGACAGGGTGAGGATGGGAGAATCTCGAAATTATGCAATGTGGTACCAGAGTGAAGACCGAGTTGCCAAAGTGAAGAGACTTTGGCCCCGCAGCCTGCATGGCAATGCATGAATATGCAAGTACCTGGGCTTGGTACTGTAGTGAAGATGTCTACTGTGTTGGTCTCCTTGTTATAAGCATTTCGACCTTCAAGGTTGCATCCAAACCGAGGGTCTTCGAATGATCTATGCCGGACTGGATTTTAACATGGCTCCAACGCTGTCTTGTCGGCTGCAGACTCGCAGTGCGAGTCGTAGGCTGCGACATAAGCGAAAGCAGCGCAAAGGTACATGTACATGTATTACGGACGCTCTCTCTTCTCTAGAGAGCTGTTCATTCGCGTCGCGGATGACTTGATCCGTGCTAGAGCGTGGCCAGTGTATCCGCGATTCTACCGTCATTCATGCAAGTGCCAAGTCGACGACGTGCTGGATTTCCCATCGAAACAGTTTATTCACTCCACCGACAATAAAAATCAATCAGTATCGTTTTACATTTTCCAAAATGTAAAACGATACTGATTGATTTTTATTGGAAAATGTTTTCCATCTCTGTGGAGTCATGAGCAGGAGGAAAAAATGTAAAACGATTCATTTTTTTGTCGGTGGTATCCGGTGAATGAACATTGATGAAGACTGCTCCGTATAAAGGCGATTGACCCATTCGGCCGACTGCCTACTGGATCCTCAGAAGGATTCAAAGCTAAGCAAATCTACCCAATGCTTGTATGGCCAAGATTTGGTGAAAGTTGTCAACGCCTGGCCTCAGATCAAAAGCATCTTTAAAAACATATCAACAACATTGTTTCCAATTCAACCGATGTTGCATTCGCGGTAATAGTTGAAGATTAAACACGCAAGATACGACGCGCACTAGACAGGGGGAACAATGCAATCTAAAAGGAAAATGAAAACTACCTGACCAGTGCGCTCGCCCTTTAGGGGGCGTTGGGATCCTCAGCAATTGCAACTTTCGCGACACCATCAGCCACCGTTTCAACCGGTTCTTCCTTCGCACCACCTGCACGAACGATATCCGCAAAACTGGGAGCGTCATCAGCGACCCACGAGAAGCGTGCGAAGAGCTTCTTCGAGTCGCCACTAGCACCGGAACTGTCGATGCGACTGCGACGTCCCACGTCCTGCGTCGTAAACTCCTCGGAGAAGTACGTGGTATCTGTGTTGCTGAGAACATTGGGCAAGATCGGCGGCTGCACCTTCTTCTCCTCCAGTAGACCCCAGTCGATGCCCTTGAAGAAGGCGTGCTTCTTGATGGCCTGCACGCCTTTCACCTGGAACATCGTCGACTTGCCGGAGCCTAAACGTTTGTCCACATTTCTCTCCAGTAGCTGTTTGAGGATGGAGTGAGTATCAGAACCAAGCCACTTTGGCAGAGGCAGCTATAAAAAATAGTCGGTGATGTCAGTAAGACAAGTCATTTGAGAGCTGTATAATGAATTATTCGTACCTTTTCGTTGAGGATTTTGTGGTGGAGTTTCTTGCGGTTTTTGTGTCTGAACGGGGGATAACCAGTGACCATTTCGTAGATAAGGGCGCCTAGCGCCCACCAGTCCACAGCCTGGTTATAAGCCTTCCGACGGATCATCTCAGGCGGCATGTACTCTGATACAGCAGAAAAGTCCGGGATACGTAAGTGACCAATAGCACAAATCTGTAGTATACTTGCATGAACGCACCGTTGGTGCCACACATGGTACTCGTCGAGTCGTCCTCCTACAACATCGCATGGTATTCATAAGAACAGCGAGAGCTCCGATGACGCAGCTCCTACTCACATCAGCCATTTCTTTGGCGAGACCGAAGTCCGTTAGACGGATGTGTCCATCAGCCCCAAGTAACACGTTTTCAGGCTTCAAGTCTCTGTACAGCGAGAAAAAAAAAGATGTCACTAATGAGTTCATCACTAAAGATAAAGAATACAATCGTGCCGATGAATGATGCCCTTGGAGTGCAGGTGCTCCAGTGCAAGCACCATTTCAGCAGCGTAGAACTTGGCCGAGCTTTCGAGCAGCAGTCCCTCCTTGTGCAGGTGATGGAACAGCTCTCCACCCGCCACAAACGGCATAACCAAATACACATTCGACTTGGTCTGGAACGCATATCTCAGACTAATGAGGAACGGGTGGTTGATCTTGGTCATAATGTCCCTCTCCGCTTGCAGATACGACACCGAGTTGTGCTGCACAATGTACTTGTTGGACACAATCTGTCACAAATAGCACAATAGATCATCAGCATAACCACTAAATCGACACAGTTCTCTTTCTTGCACTTACTTTCATGGCCAGGATCTCGTCCGTTGGCTGGTGTCGCACTTGAATCACTTTACCGAATGCTCCTTGGCCAATGACACATAGTAGATCGAAGTCTTGAGGTCCCACCGGGCGCTTCGAGCCGCTCGTGTCGGTGCTTAAACTGCTGGTACTGTCAGAAGAAGCGGGTGAAGCCGGAGCGACTGTGTCTTCGTTCTCGTTCTCCGCTATCGCCTCGTGTTTGCGACTGAGTCGCTTGAAGGTAAAGCGTCGGAGCTTGTCACGCTTCGATCCATTGCGCGGCGTGGACGGCGCTTTGTCCACCACTTGCGGAGCCTGTGGCGGAGCTCTAGCCGCCGCAAAGTCCTCGGTCTCGGCCTTCGTGAGGGTCGACGGCATCGCGAAGGGAGGAACGCCAGTGACCAGTGCAGCAATGCACAGTGTACCTCTGCTGACGCTAGTCGACACTTGTGTCCGAGCTAAAAGGTATTAATAGATTGATGGATAGGCGATTTGACCAGCGAAAGGGACAGAACCTACCGGACAGCGAACCGACGTGAGAAGTCACACATTTGTGCAACATTGGAACGACATTATCGGTTGAAGCGACGCAAAGCGTATCTTTTTCGGTATCCTTTTAGTGCAGAGCGTCATTCGGCGTTGCGACTGCGCTGGAAGTTGATAAGCTATGAGGTATTGCGTTGACCTGGTACTGTCAACCTTGACAGCGTTGCTGGCAATTGGCAGTGCGTTTAGTGACGAGATTCCGACTGGAAGTGCTGAAGTTCCTACACATTCCGACAACACTGTCGCTACCATTGACAAGAACACACAAAGTTTTGTGGTGGCGACCCACGGATCAGCATATTCCCTAACGTTAACAACATTCCTCACGGATGCTGCACATTTGCACTATGCGGTGTTGCCAGTGGGCCAACCGGCGTTAGATGCAGCGGGTATCAAGACTGCAGCGGCGCAGTGCCGCTCGGATGTGGGTACAACAAACGATGTACGACCGAATAGTGCAGTCTCGAGGGTGCAGAGCACAGGTGTCGTGGCTGCAGAAACAATCACGGTGGCCAAGGCTCAAAAAGTGGTGAGTGCAGTGAAAAATCTGCAGCCGAACACAACTTATGACGTCTTCTTCGTCTCGGAAGTGGTCGGAAGCAATGGGGTCTTTGGCCCAGTACAGTCGGTGCTGCAGTCGTCCACACATCCAGAACCTCCGGGAATTGACATAGTTAATGTGCAACCGGAAAATGCGACGGCGGATTCTGTACTGATCAACGCCACGTTGACGACTCTGGGACGCGCGTACTTTGCATTAATACCGAGCGGAGGTGACGAGAAGCTCACGGCTGAAGATCTGGTACAAAATCGAAGTACTGCTGGCTCAGCGAAATCACAATTTTTAGTACATACGGTGGGAGTCAACGGATCGTACAATTTTCAAGAAGTTATGAAAGAGTTAACTCCAGCGACTCTGTACGATGTTTTCGTGCTTATGGAGGCTCCTGGCAATGGAGAAGTTCGAAGTGAAGTGGCTCATTTTCCAAAAAAAGTCCGTACGCATGCACTTGCGCCAGAAGTGACAAAACTGGTATGTTTTCCGCTTAATGCGAGTGCTACGGCTCTTGACATCAGCTTTAACTTGGCTGTGGATCAAGAAGATATCGACCGCGTGAAGCTCGAGACGTTGTCGTATTTTACTTACAATCTCCACTATGAAGTCATCGCGTTGTCCGATGGTAAGAAATCTACAGTCACAGCTAGCACGGTATCAGTTTCTACAGGGAATAGCGCGGTAACTCGCAGCACCGATGACATCAGCGCGCTGAAAAATACCACCTTACGTGGAATATTCTCCATGTGGAACTTCTCGAGCGTCGAGGAGTTTCAAGCAGGTCTTCAAGAAACTCACCATGCTAACATCACGGGACTGCAAAGTGGAACTTTGTACAAAGTGAAGCTGCGTGCAGAAACTGCTGGGAGCAATGGACTCTTCGGTCTTCATGAACTCACAACTCAGGCCACGACACACGAAGTACCACCCCGAATCCTCGCTGCCACCGTCCAAGCAACCAACAAAAGTGTGAATTCTCTCACTTTAATAGTTGATTTGGAGCAGCAACAAGGCAATATCCATTACGTTCTCACTGGTAAAAGTGGGGCTGCTGCTAGTCTTCGCGGTGTCTTCCAACAAGCCACAAGCGTGGAACATCTTCAAAATCTATTGCGCGACCGAGCACCTCGTGATTCCGAAGAAAATGCATACAAAACTGGAGTTTTTACGTTCTTTTCGGAGGAGAAAATCACCATCTCCGACACTAGAAACCCCAATGCAAACCCGAATATTGCGAGACACGGTAAACCCGTAGGAAAGAGCGAAGTGGAGGCGTTCAGACAGCAATTCGAGATTACGGGACTTGAAGATGCGACGTCGTACTCTATTGCTCTTCTACCAGAGACTACGAAGAGCTTTGGTCTATTCGGCCGCGCATTCAATTCTTTACTCGAAGCTCACACGAACGAAAACGCCTCGCAGATTGAGTTGCGTTCAGCCAGGCCGCTTCACGGGAATATCACCGCTATCCAGCTCGACGTTAGCATGACGAAGCCGAAAGATATCCTCTTCTTATGCCTCGATCCTTCTGAGGATGTTCAGGATGTGGATCTCGATCAGTGTCGCGAAGTAGACAGGAATAGCTTGGAGGCTTCGAGAGTATCACCTAACACTTTTACTTTCGCTATCGGGAATCTCAGCGAAGACACCGAGTACCAGGCCAGCCTGTACGCTGAAAACTCTCTTCGCAACGGTGTAGTAAGTGAACGAAGCGGAGAAGTTAAGGTTCGAACGTACAAGAGCGCACCACGGATCATTGAGGCATCTGCACGACCTACCGCAGCTTCTTCATCGCAAATCGACGCTCAAGTTGTAGTAGATCCTGATGCGTCGTGCATAGTGCACTATGTTGTTCGTGAAGCGCAGGATTCAATGACGACTGACACACAGAAACCGGTGGATGCAGCTACAATTGTAGAGCACTCATCCAGTAAGGATCCTCGCTCCCAGTTCCAGCATCGACTTCCATCATCCTCGTCATCTTTTGTGAGTGGCGGGAGCGTATTTACCGAGACTGGTGCTGCCAATACAAGCTTTAATGTCCAAGAACTGCGCGCCAATACGACGTACGAAGTATTCGTCGCAACGGAGACAAGTAGAGATGGAAACAGCAGCGGAGTCCTCGGAGAACTCGTGACTTTCAACGTTACAACTCACGCTATCGCGCCCAAAATCGTGCTTGCAACAGTGGATCCTGTCGACGGCAGCACAGATAGTGTCGTCATTATAGCCAACCTATCACATCCAGGAGTGCTGCACTACTTCCTCAGTGACGTCGACTTCGCAGATCCAGCAGTCATCAGCCATAGCGACGAGAAACGTACACCTCACGAGCTACGAGGACAGTTAGTAGTGCTGGAGGAGCATATTTTGATGGAGGTTATCAACGGCACGAACGATACTCGACCAACTGACCCACTCGTGTTTGTCCACAACACTACAGTGAGTGGACTCAAGGCTGGCACGACGTATCATGTGTCTCTAACCACAGAGACCTACGGAAGCGAAGGCGTCTTTGGTGAATTCCCACCTCCAGTGCTTGTGAACACTCATCTTGGGCCTCCAGTGATCATTCCGGACAAGCTTTCGATGCATCCAGTGGACGGATCAAGCTCAGCTCTCGCCATAGATTTCGCACTGGATCGCTTTGGAGATGTCCACTACGCGCTGTTTTTTCGTGGTCTTGTATCCGACAGAAGCCACGAATTTGGAGCTCCAATAGAGAGAATTGAGGACAAAAAGGAGGATGCAGGCAACGAGTCGACTCCAATCTGGCCACCACCAATTAGCACGTTTGACCTCAAGAATTTGGACGGCTTAATGCTCAAGAACGCGGAGCTAGAGGCGCTTGGCGTGGGTGTTTGGGTGAACGATACCATTTCAGTCTCTCGGGAAGATATCACGTGCGGCAAAATGATACACAAGGAGATCGATAAATTACCGGCTAACGCACTGTTCGATGTGTGCCTTGTGAGTGAGACTGCAGCCAGTAACGGTATATTGGGCTGGCCGTTGGATGGTAGTGTTTCTGCGTGTCATCGGGTTGCTACGCATGCAGACTACACGAACCAGTCGAAGCTGTTGGACGAGATAACAGTACATCCTTTAGGTGGTCGAACGGACGGGATTCGTATCAATCTCAACGTCTCCAAGCTGCCGAAAGCCCCGCAGACAACTGACGGAAACGTCCTTGATCGATATGCTCAATCTACCGGTAGAATACCCTATTTTGTGCTAGTCGACGCAAAATCAAGATCTGGACGTGACCTTGGAGCATTCTCTTCTCATCGAGGCGAAGTTACAAGTGTCTTTAAGGAAACATCTCCTGGACACGGCGACGGTGTCGTGGCCGCTGGAATGTTGTCGAATATATCGCGTGAGAACGCTACTGCACTGGTAATTGAGCAGGATGTGCTTGGACTAGGCGCGAATCACGAGTATTTGCTCTTCTTCGCGTATGAAACCAGCGGCAGCAACGGAGTGTTCACACGAGTCAATCCTCACAAGCATCGAAGCAACGATTCGCGCTCTGAGAACGACGGTATCCCGGTTACAACATACGAATCCGCTCCTCGTATCATGAAAGCTAACGCCAACCCCACGTTCGGTCAGACTTCCCGTATCACGGTGAAGTTTGACGTTGCGTGCGATTCCTGCGCGAATACACTGGTTCATCTACTAGTGTTTCCAGACTACTGTAAGTCTCCCGAATCTGTGGCTGATACGCTACGTTTGGGTCAATTTTCTGGCTCCGAGACCAATGTGACTATCTCAAACACGAGTGAAGTGACTGGAGGCTGCATCACTCCGTTGGTACAAAAGCGCGTGGAGTTTGAAATGTCCGAGAGACAACACAATCGACACGATCTTGAAGAGGAACTTGGCGATGAAAATGTGCTCTCACCCAATTCTAGTTATATCGTTCTACTAGCGACTGAGACGGTAGATTCTCACGGTGTGTTGAGTACAAAATTCGAGGAGCTGCGAGTGCGAACGCATGCCCCAGCGCCGAAATTTACAGATTTTCGACTGGAACCTCGCACAGGGTCAACAACAGAGTTGGTGTTGACGTTTGCACTTGATCGTCCGGGTGAAGTCCACTACATGCTTGGAGCTTCTGACAATGCGGAGTTTAACGTCACGTCACCTCATAACATCAGCAGTAAAGGCATTCCTACTGGTGATCGCAATGGACGCAGTAGAGATACACACAATTACCGTCCAGAAATTGTACGCACACGACGAAGCGTGACGTATTCGGACGGTAAATACGTCGAGCTCGTGGACTATTTGATGCCAGGTACAAGCTACAGTCTGTTCATCGTGTCGGAGGCATCACCGGCAGATCACGGCGTATATGGAGATATCCACGAGGTGAAAGACGTCTCGACATTCGCCAATGCGCCGATTCTACTGGCTCACACGGCGTACCCGACACCAGGGACCACTGAATCGTTAACTGTGGGCTTTCGCATGGACGCTCCGGGCATTGTGTACTTCTCAGCTGTTGCAGTAAAACCTTGGGGGCTGACACGTCATGTTGCTAAAGGAAGTGACCGGTTCGGCAACCGCTTGGCACTACAGGACCGACTTATAGCGCAGAAGAGTTTGGACGTAGATAAAGAGAGTATGGAGCTAGAAAGCGACAGTGGCTGGCGAGAAATGATCCTACAAGTGCCTCAGACTGGAATTAACTACACGGTACATCTCGTTACGGAGACGAACGGCAGTGGAGGCATTTACGGTACCGTGGCGACCCACGCAGGAGTTCGTGCTCATTCAGAGGCACCAGAACTGGTTAATGTATCGGTGAACCCGACCGACGCTCGTGTGGATGCACTTACAGTGAATGTTACGCTAAGTGACCGTGGTCACGTGCACTATGTCGCAGTACCAAGTGGACGTGGCTCGGAGCCTCCATCGAACGATCAATCGACGGAGCTGAGTGTACGTGCCAGTGGCAGCGTCGACGTTAATGAGACTGTTGGAGACCAGAAGACAGATTTTGTGATCACTGGACTCACGGAAGGCACTTCATATGACCTTTACTTCCGCGCGGAGACATTCGAGAGCTTTGGTGTCTTTGGATCATGGGCGAAGCAGGCCGTGACAGCCCGTACGCACGGTCTTCCGGCTGATGTTCTACCTGAAGCAGTGGAGTGTAAAGTGATACCGTCTTGTGAGCAACGAGGACGTGAGGCGGTAAGTTGTGTTGTTATTTTCCTGCTTTGTCATTGTGATTAACAAGTTTTTGTGCTCTATAGTGCTCGCGGAAGGCAAATGTATGTGGCAAGTGTCTTGATGGATATGGAGCTGAGGGTGATGAAGAGGTACCAGAAGCTAACGAGCCATGCGTCAAGTTGACTCCCACGAAAGGTATGTCTGTCATATTTTCTATATCTTACGTACTTGTTCAATTGAATGTGTACTGTGTTTTGTCAGCTAAACGTGGTCCGAAGATCAAAATTAACGGTGTGACGCGTAACCCGAACTTGCATTTGTCAGAGACAGAGAGTGAGACTGATGAGGAGCACGAGCATGAGCCTGTGCATGTTTTACCTACGGAACACGTCAAGCTTGAACAACAGCCCGTTGATCTAGATGCATTACAGCACGACACGGAGATTATTGAAGAACCCATCCAATCGACAATTCCGGTGACGGAAGATCATACCGTGCAAGAACAAAATCAAGAACCAGTAGCGGACCAACCCCAGTTGATAGAGCAGCCTGTCGAGCCTCAAGTACCGGTATCCGTCGAGCCTAATCAACATGTTGACATCGGTTTGGACGCTCTTGCTCATCCGGAGGTCACCGCTGAACAAGAACCGACTCCAGATCTCCCAGAGACCTCAGGATGTCCATTGAACTCGCAGCCGAGTGCTTCCGGCTTGTGCGAGTGCATTCCCGGCTATGAGGTAGATGAAGGAGGCACCAGTTGTGTTCTCTCACGCATGCCCACGGTAGCTGAAGCTACCGCTGCGTCATCATCAGCCGCCTTCGATGTCCTCAACACACATCATATTCCTGGCCAAAGTTTGTAGTCTCTCATAGGTTGCACATGCAGAGCTGGACGAGGTTTACTATCTTTGCATTGAACAAGCAACAGGAAAGCCTAAAGTTT